TATTGAAATTAATTCTTTGTGTAGAAGGGTGAGGTAACATTACTCAGAACAAGGCAGGTTTTCCTAGGCTCTTTGTCCTAGTAGTCATTGCCCAGGGAAGGGACCATAAGCAGTGGTTGTCAACCCTGGCTGCCCAGGGGAGTGACCGTGGAAGCTTAAAAAAATTCAGATGCCAGAGCCCTGTCGGTGAGATTCAGAATAATTTGACCTGGGCTGGGTTTTGGAGAGTCAGGGCTGTGTTTTGTTTAGTTTTCCAGGTGATTTTAATGAGAGCCAAGATTGAGAATCATTGAGCTGGACCCTTTCCCCCATTTTAGAAGAGAGAAACATTTAGTTCATTCCTAAAGAATGAAAAGGTATCATCATTTCTGAAATTTCTGATAGAAAAATACATTCTGGCACTGATGTGCTAGAGACATAAATGCATTTATGATGGTATAAGTTACATGAGGTAGAAACTTCAGGGTTCTCGTTATTGATTTTCATCATTTCTGAAATTTCTGATAGAAAAATACATTCTGGCACTGATGTGCTAGAGACATAAGTGCATTTATGATGGTATAAGTTACATGAGGTAGAAACTTCAGGGTTCTCGTTATTGATTGATTTATTTTTTAGTGGCTGGCAGGTAGGGGAATCCAAACCCTTAGTATTATAACAACACACTCTAACCAACTGAGCCAACTGGCCAGCCTGTTTGTTGTTTCTGTTTTTTTAATCAACATTGATAGCCCCCTAACTTGTCTCCTACTGCTTTGGTATTTTTCTTTATTAGTATGGTTTCAACATGGTCATGTCTCATCCACATGCTGTCAATGAGATTGCACTGAGCTTGAACAACAAGAATCCCAGGTAAGCTTCCTTTGTGTAAGCCTACACCTAACTAGGGAAAGCAAAGAGCTATTTAATGCTTAACCAAGTGAGACTTTGGAAACTTTCAAGACTATGTCTCTGAAATAAGATTGGCTGTAAACCCCTTGGCTGTGTAGACTTTTTCCTTTCAGCCAAGTTACATTCTTACATGGGACAGAGTTGAGCAACTGGTGACAACTGTAGCCCTTCACTGTAGTCCTCAAGCTTTCATTGCTTTCGGGCCTGGTTCTCAGCATCCTTGCTGCTGGGTTTTGTGGGGAGGCTTAGGTTGCCAGGACCTGGGAGCCAGGAGAGTTTTGGTAAAGATTTAGCTACAACAATTATTGCTGAAAGCTAACTAAAACCACCATCCCTCATCTGCACTTCACTTGCTACCCTTACATGTATGCAGCTTTAATTACCAAACAAAAAAAGAAGCACAAACAAATAATTTTACATGCATATGTCCTTTTATATTCACTTTCTGTAAAGGTCAGCAGCATATTTTATCCACATCACAGATTACCTCTAGAAGCCTGTCGTCATCAATTTATTTTGGTTTTTCTAATATGTTTTCTATTTTGGTGAGTTATTCTGCATTTCAAATGCATAATTCTCTTTCATCAGATACTTCTCTATAGACTGAATATCTGAAAACTGTTAATGCAATTCAAAAATCTGATTGTAAATCAGGCCTTTCTGATTCAGAATTCAGTGCAAACCTGTGAAGTGCTACTTAAATATTGAATATTGTTCTTTCAAACTTCCCTTGATTAAACGTTTTGTGATTGCTTCCTTAGTTGACTAGAACCCTGAGGAGTCATGCTTCCATGTCCCTGCCTTCCACTGTAGGGAAATCACTATTCATTTTTCTGAAGACAATTGACATTGTGAAGTATTAGAACAGTCTTTGTTTAGAGGTTGGCAGTAGTTTTTATTCCAGGATAAAAACGAGATACTGAAGTGGTCTTGTGATGAAAAAACAAGGCTGTTTCTTTCTTGCCATTGTATTTGAAAACTTAGAATGTGTCTCTAGATTCTCCTTCCACAAATATTTCAGATGGAGTTTTGTTGTCTTGAGTCAGAGAAATCATTCTTGTATTAGTAACCCAGCTCCTTTCAGATCTCCTGCATAGGAAGAAAAAATGACAGAAACTTTCCTCATCTTGGGGGATTTTTATGGATCCACTCACAAGTGAGCAGATTTGAAATGTGGAAAATTAATTTCAGTTGATTTTGAGCTTTTTCAGCAAATGTTATACCTCTGACTCTAAAACCAGAAAAAATATTTGATCAACGGTTTGTTTTTCTACATATTTCCAAGTTTTATATTGTTTTCAACTCATTTAATAAAAATGTTTCAACTATATTATACTGAGTCACCTGGTGATAGGGCTGAGAGACTGTTCTTCCCAGAATTTGTTCCATTAGTGAGTAATTTGTAATTTTGGGAATGGGAAACATGCCTTCTAAATTTGTTGTCTTTGACAAATCACATATTTAGAAGCCAGAAAAGATTTTAAAATGTACTCTAATATAATTGTACATTAGTTAGTGAAGGTTTAAAAAAAATACATGGGCGAATATTTTTTTTCTCTTGTACCATCTTGGAAGGAAGGAGTGGCTGACTCATCACGTCACTTTCACTGATTTGTGTTTTTCTTCTCGTTTTGACAGAACAAAAGCCCTTGTCTTAGAACTGTTGGCAGCCGTTTGTCTTGTCAGAGGCGGGCATGAAATCATTTTATCGGCATTTGATAACTTTAAGGAGGTAGGAAACACTATAGTTTTAATGGGAATGTTCACACAAACATGTTATATGTGGACGTCTTTGAATGGAATGATTTATCTTTTCATTTATTCTAGGGCCTAAAGAGTATAATAGTTAATCTTATAAGGTGTCATTGAGAGGGAAGAAATGAACTTAGCCTCAATATCTTACATGGATGGATGAAGCTTTCTTTGGGTGTCTCCTTTCTAGAATAACTTGTAAAATTTGCAGTACTCACTTTCCTTTGGTGAACTTGGAATAGCCAGTTTGAAAACAGGTTTTGTTACATGTATTAAGGTTGATGCTTGATCATCCACCATGTAAATTTTATGAACTCTTTCATCGTAGTTACTTTTCTCAAATCATATTTATTGTCATTGTTTTGCTGGATGCTGTGAAAAACCTGTCAAATATTGATTTTAGGAGTTCATAATCTTAACTAAATGGTCTTGTCACAGACAAACAATAAAGCAATGGACAGGTATGGTTGAAAGTGGAGACTAACTGACTACAAAAGAATAAACAATTACACTAGATGATATGACCCCATGGGTGCTGCCTCAGACATGAGTCAGTTTCCCTTAGATGTAGTGGACAGTGCTATACAGACAAGAGGAGTACCTGTTTGCTCCCCTAATATATGCCTAACATCCGAGGCTAATTTGAGGTGGGAAATTACGAAAGTAGTCTTTGGTGAACATTGAACACACATGGACCCCCAGACTACAGTAGGACCCTCAGCCAAGTTATGCCTTATCTTGGCAGCCCTATTTAATTCCAGATGCTTCTGGATCAAAACCCGAGCTGGATTAAAATCCACATCTCAGAGGGAATTCCAAGCTCTCTCTCTCCCTCATCTTCCCTGAAATCCTCTGGAGTAGAAACCAGATAGTATTTGTTGAGCACCTACTATATGCTAGGGCTTTACCAGCTGCACACGCAAAATCATTTGATTCTAGAATAATATTTTTTTTTTCCTTTTTGTCTTTTTTACCGACTGGTAATGGGATCGCAACCCTCGGTGTTGCGCCCGCACCGTGCTCAGCCAGTGAGCGGGAACCGGTCTCCACATGGGATCCGAACCCTCAGCGGGAGCGCCACCACGCTCCCAAGCGGCGCACTCTCCAGTGCGCTACTGGGTCAGCCCTAGAATAATATTTTTGAGACAAGTATTCATATCTCTATTTTATAGAAGAATAAACTAAGACTCAAAATGTGGTCTACTTATGGTCACACAGCTTGTATTAGTCCATTTCTGTTGCTATAACAGAATACCTGGAACTGGGTGATTTATGAAGAAAAACAACACTTATTTCTTACAGTTTCTGAGGGTGGGAAGTCCAAAGTCCATCCAATGATGGTGACAGCAACCCAGGACTCTCACATTGCAAGATGGTGGAAGCAGAGAAAGCAGAGAGAGAGCAAGACAAACTCTCCTCTTCTTTTAAAGCTCTCAGAACCATGCCCCTGACCACCAATTTTAATCCATTCACTACTGTGTGGTCCTATAATTCAGTCACCTCTTCAGGTCTCCACTTTTCAATTACCATTATACGATTTCCCACCCTCTTAACAGTCACAACGGGGGCTAAATTTCTAATACATAAAATTTGGGGGGTACAATTCAAGCTTCAAAGAGTTTGGGGGGAACATAATTCAATCCACTACACAGTTGGATAGGATTTGGTGCTCCTGATCCTGACCTTCCATGGATAAGTGTGGGCCCAGTGTGTGTGAATCACCTCAGGGAAATAAGGGACATAGTGAGTTAGACAGGACCTCAGAGCCATTTCCTTTACCCCCCACCTCCTTAATTGTACTCACTACCCCTGCTGCCAAGTGTACCAGAGAGTGGCCTGAGGCCCTGTGCATGGGACGTGAAGCTTCGAAGATGTGAACGGGGCAAATGCTCCTTTTGCCCCTTTATTTGCATTGCCTCCCTTCCCCCATCAGTGTTTTAAGGTTTTGATATTGTTCAATTTGTTAATGCCAACTGTGGAGAGAACCAAATATTGTCTTTTTATCTATTCAGCCCGAGTGATAGTGGGAAAAAAAATCTAGATTCTAAGAGAATGATGAAGAATAATAGTCTTTAAATTCATATTCTGGCTTCCAAAACAAACTTTTGAGACAAGAATGTGTAAATGCTTGTCTGTGAATGTTTTTATATATCATGTATAAATATATAAGTTTTACATTTATAAATGAGGAGATAATGTTTGGGTGGGTGGCTTTCATATGGAAGAGAAACAGCATGTGCTGCTAATATAACTCCCAAATCTTTATCATTAGATCGTATTTGAAAATATCACATGCCATGTCCTTTTCACACTGGAAGTGTTTACTATACAGTTATCAGTGACCCTTGTTATAATATGATTCATAATAAGCATCTGATTATAACAAGTATCATAACAAGCATCTGCAGGTCAAATTGCGTCCCAAAGATAAAATTGCATAGAATCTGAATTAAAGGCAGTAATTCATAAGATGAATGTTAATTTTGCTTTCTCTTAGGTCAGATAGAGAACCTTTCTTATGCATGGTAGGCACACAAATAGTTGCAGAATTGAATTCTAACTCTCTGGTGTCAGGGTTGTGTTTGGTTTAGCCATTTAAGGCATAGTATGTGCTTAGCTGAAGAAGAAAGTAATTGTACTAAATCTTACCAGGTGGCTAGTAGTAATAATAACTACATTAATTGTAACATTGAATTTTTAGAGCTTTAACCTAAACCTGCCTCATTTCTGTGACTACTTATGAGTAATGGTGGGTGTTTAGGTTCTGTTTCTCCTTGGCATAGGCATTTGCATCTGACAGAAACCACACCATGTGGGAGAAGGGTCAAGGGCAGAGCTGGTTCTTGGCTCGCATTAACCTCAAGCTGTGGTGTCCGTGTCCACAGACCAAGCAAAGGGACTGTGCTAACAGCCAAGTGAGTGAGAACTAGGTGGGAATGTGCCCCTGAGAAACTTTGTTCTTATGGATAGGTCATGAGCGCCAACCTATTTATCTGGCCAGTCTTGGATTGGAAAAAGTGTTATTTTGTGTTGATCTTATTTTTTTAAAAAATGTAATCCCACTCACTACTCAAAGTCTTTAAAATTTCTCTCTCTCCTCTTTTTCTCCCATCTTTTTTGTGAGTGGAGTTTTTTCCCTTACATGTTGTAGTGAAGAATGTCATCAGAATCTTTTGGCTTTAGGGAAGCTTGGAGCCAGCTGTTTAGGAAAAGTCCTGTGTTTGGGGGTGCCTGCGTAGATAGGGTTATGGTCAGTGAATAATATACATTGAGCCACTTATGGCAGAGAGTACCACACCAGGTACCAGAATCCCAGGGAACAGGACCAAAAAATAGTCTTTGCCTTCAGGAAGTTTGTTTTTAAAGCCTTTTATCTTTTTTAGTAAGTTGAGATTCCATTCATCTCCCTAAGAAAGATAAAGGGATTATTTTGGTTTTTACTGGTGGGAATAAAGGGAGTTCAGAATTTATTTTTGCAAATAAAGTAATATGCTTTAGAGTAGCCAGAGCCTGTGGGCATTGTTAGAGCACAACTGAACGCACACCAGATGCTAAAAGGAAATTTCAGGACCATGTATCTTAAATGTGTAGTGGGAATTTTTCCCCTCTGCCTCTAGAGCCAACAAATCCGTTCTGTCTAATTTGACCACTGCTAATTAATTAACTCAAATGTAAATTAAAGGAAGATATCTTTTGGCTCTTATGAGTGATGGTATGATTACATCCTTTTCTCATTTTTCATTTAATATTCAGAATCCCAACAAGTTTGGTTTTCTCCTTTTTTCCCCAAAGAATCTTGCTATGAGTCTTGTAATATCAGAAGTACATGTTTTAGGAAAAGTTGGAGCACCTCCAATTTAATGGTGAATGGTGGAAAGAATATTAACCCAAGGACTTGCTTATGGTGGGGGTGGGACTTGGGAACTAAGTCTGATGTCACTAAGTAAGTGCATATGTCACCTCAATGTATAAGGCTACTTCAGAAAGTTCGTGGAAAGATTCATATTATCATCTTTTAATTCTATTTTTTCCACAAAGTTTTGGAAATACCCTTGTGTATGATGTTAAGTGAGTTTTAATTACATAAATTCAGATGGTAAGCTCATACGATCTGTGATTTGTGACATGCCTCAAAACGTGAGAGTATTGAGTTGTTGAAGACAAAATCATTAACAAACAACCATTGTGTTCTTTGAATTATTTTCTCTTAATTTTTTTTTTTAAAATGGGATTAACACATCTGATTTTGGTGTTGAAACATCTCATGAGAATTTGTGGTCCTGAAGTGAGGACCAGGGTGAGAACAAGGAGTCATCTGTTTTTTCTTATTGGCTGATTTAGCCACATGGAAGGACATACAACCATCTTCCCTACCTTGAGTCTTTCTTAGTTGCAGGACAGTATATATTTTTGAGCCCTGGGTCTACCAGACAGAAAAGAATACATATGAAGTAAAGGTCACACTTTTGGTATTTGTATCAGTTCACGGTCTTGTTTGCAAGAAGCAGAAATTGACTCCAACATGCAGAGGAAAGGGCTGATTGGAATGATATTGAGAGACTTGACAAGGAGCCTGGAGAACCACGCTTGGAAAATGGGCAGGCATTTCTAACATGTGGCTAAACTCTAGCTGTGCCCTTGAAGCTGAGCCACCATAAACACTATTTGGGGTTCTGGTCATGCTTGTTCTTCTCTCCAAATGACATGGACCATAGCTAGCAATTCACTGGGTCATTAAACTGTGCTTCCTGGTTAAGGACCTCAACCAGCTCCCACTTTAGATTTATAAACACTGTATTTAATCGAGTTTCCCATAGGAATTTTGAGGTCTTCCACCTAGACCTTGCTCTCTTCAACTTTTTCTTAGTTTTCCTACTTTTTTCCATTATATTCTTTGATGTATTTCAGAAGTTGCCTTGCTTTAAAAAATTGTCTCCAAATGTCTGGCAAAACATGCTCCCATTTGAAATCAAAGAGGAA